TCCCCCATGCCTATGCAAGGCTCACAGGCTCTGGGTTGTTTTTTCTGCAAGACACTAGAATGGCTACTTTTTAAAAAATGCGTTTTATATGAAAGTTCTCCCAGTGACTGGCATTGGCACTGAAGTTGGCAGGGTGACCAGTATGGTTGGTATTCTACTGTGTGATCTTTGGGGCTTCCATGTAAGGTAAAAGGTAAAGGACCTCCATATGGCTAAGTCCAGTCAAAGGCGTCTATGGGGTGTGGCGCTCATCCCGCTTTTCAGGCCGAGGGAGCCAGTGTTTGTCCACAGACAGCTTTCTGAGTCAGGTGGTCAGCATGAATAAACCAACACGGAGGACCATGATGAGTGCCAGAATGCACGGAAACACTGTTTACCTTCCCACTGCAATGGTACCTGTTTATCTACTCACGCTGGTATGCTTTCAAACTGCTAGGTTGGCAGAAGCTGAGACAGAGCAACAGGAGCTCACCCCATCATATTCCTATGAATATTTATTGAGGCTGAAAAGAAATACAGGCTCAGCAGAAGGTAATGAGTCCTAGCAGCTACTACACTCAGGCAAGCTGACAGAAAAGGTGAGGCCAGCCAGACTAGAAGCTGTGGTCCTAGTTTAAGGAGTCCAACACCAGGACAAGTAGTTCAGAACTGCATGGAGGCAATGGAGTTGTCTCAAAGGGTGGGCACCTCCACCTCCACCTGCTATAAACAGGGGCAGCCCATCCTGTTTTGCCACCTGAAGCAAAATATCAAGGTGCTAACCTGTGCCTGCCCCCTTGTTCCCTCCTTCAAAGCCTTGCTTACTGGGGTTGTATGACTGCAGCTTCCATGTTCCAATGAAACCATGCAAGAGCCCTGAGAGATCAGGAGGAGGCCTCTGCACCACCTTGTGGGGCTCTTGCACAATCTCCCAGGGTACTTTCTTGCAAGATTTTGCCAGAATCTGAAAGCCACTGCAGCTACTTCTCTTCAGTTTTTTGGTGCTGCTGCTGCCTGGGCAGGAGGCTCTTGGATTCCACCACCTGAGGTGCCTATCTCCGTCTGCCTCGTGGATGGGCTGGCCCTGGCTAGAAAGATGGACAAGGTGAGCTCACTCATGAGACTCTTATGCAATGCGAGACTGTTGATCACGCAGACATGCACTGCATCAGGAAGGATCTGTGTGTTTCTAGATATGTCGCTGGTCCTGGGTCCCCTTCTGACTCTGGTTCCACCACTAGAGTTTGGCTGATTCCCTCTGTTATGTACTGAGTTGAATAGGATTCAAAAGGCAGCAGTCTGATTGGTCCTAGAACAATTGGATTCAGAAGGCAGCAGTCTGATTGGTCCTAGAACAATTGGATTCAGAAGGCAGCAGTCTGACTGGTCCTAGAACAATGCAGCAGTATGATTGGTCCGCAGGAGCCACCCAATCCAGCTCCAGGTGGAAGTGAAGCCGCAACCTGATTGGCCTACAGGAGAATCGCAGAATTAGCCAATCACGTGCGGCCCATTGTTTAAATAATGTATATAAAGCAGATATTTGGGGGAAACTTTCATTCCTCACTACTATGAGCTGAATAAAGAGCATGATATCCACACTTGACTCCGAGTATATTTCACCCTCCCAGAATTGCTCTTTTCCCCAAGAGGGAAGAGGGGAGATGGGAGTCCTGCTTCCCCAGCCAAGGCAGCTCTATCCTGGGAGAGGGAAAGACCCGCTTCCTCCAGACTCTCTTCCCCCACTCTCAGCCCCACCCCATGTCATCCTGTTTCCCCTTCCCTACTCTCCTGGTCCTGGGGATGCCTTGGAGCTACATGGGCAAATAGATTGGTGATGAGCTACAAGGCAGCTTTTGACTTTCTATTTCTATACTCAGAATGGGTGACACTTTCAATTTTGGTTCTCTCAGATTCTCATTTTTCCAATCTTAAATTCCATTCATATTTTTTGGGCAACTTGTGCATCTTTATATGCAATTTTGCTTACGTTACACATTTTTGTAAAGCAGGAAATACTATTGTACTTTTTAAAGAACAAAACAAAAACTAACATATGCATTGTCGTGCACACTCTGATATGTGCATATTTGTACACATTACTTGGCTGGAGAACTGCATTGAAAAATGTGGAGAGGTGCAAATAGTGAAGCATGACAAGGTATCACTTCACATAGAGTTCCAGAGAAAGTGAATTTGGTAGCTTCATCTTTAATAGTGAACTTATTCTGATTTCTTGCCCATCCTAACTCCATACCAGATGCTCCAGCTGTCCCTGATTTCTGGTACCTGCCTCTGGTAAATTACTTTCCACTTGTATGACACTTTTCTGTGTAAATATTTGCCCAAAGCCACAACACAACACACTAAATGCAAATCAATATAGCATTACAATAACACCCCAACGCTAGATCGTTTCAAAACTTCATATGACAATCCAAATAATTCCTTTTTATAACTTAAACGTTTTAACATTTTAAATGATTATAAAATAAGCTGTTATTAAAATGTACTGGTTAATGTCAAGCAAATATAATAAGCATTCCAAGTACAATCATTTTAACAATAACAGGAACAGGAACTCACTCCATCATAGTACTGTACAAAATACTAATACAACAAAGAGATTGGGCTCCTCAGTCCTCCCAAAAGGAATAATGCAAAGGGAAAACGCTCTTAGGTCTATGGCTTATTTTGTCCATAGAATGCCTTGTGGCTGTTATTATTTTTTTTTAAAGAAATGTGAGTGGTTAGCTCTGTCATTCTTCAGAATCTCTAAAAGTGAACAAATCTCTTAGGGGCAGAGAGTTGCCACCTCTCTTCCACGTCACGCTAGTGGCGTCATTGTTGCTGGGGGAACTGCACCTTGTGGGGCGGCCCCCAGCCAGTCAGCACCAAGAGGGGGTGTGGTTGCAGGAGATTTAACTATGGCACGACTGGCAGCACCCTCTCACTCGCCCTAACGCCAGATCACCCTACCCACCCACCCACCCTCTTTTCATGCTTTGCTCAGATATGACCTTGCTATGGACAATTGTTGGTCACCATATTGTTGTGGGCAGGTAGGAATTTTTCCACTTGGCAAATTGGCACCGGCCATTTGGTTTTCACCTACCTGGTAGCAATCATCACAACTTTGTGTGAGGCATTGGGTAAGCCTTTGTTTGGATGGAGGGGAGGTTGCAGACTTCACCTGCCCCTTCTCAGTAAGAGTATCCTGTTAAAAGGATCTGGGGTGTGAATCCTGACCGATGCCTGGACGTGGGCTAGGACCATGTCACAGCCTATGTGGGGACCCCTCGGGTGCCCCTATTTGATGTAAGTCATAGGGTGCCCCCTATCAGTTGTTTACCCTTAGGTAGACTCTCTGCAGATGGACAGGAGTCAAGATATAGCTTGGTCTCACCCCACTGCCTAAGCCAGACAGCTCACATCTGTAACCAAGAAGGTTGTGGCCTATTTGAACCCATAAACCAAAATACTTTGTGTCTGGGTGTTTATTGTTCTCCTGGGAACTTTGAAGCATGGAGGCCTTGGCATGCAAATGACAATTGTTCACATTTTTTTATCAGAGTAACCGACTGTTTTAATACTACACTGTTTTTTAACAGAGCAACCGACTAGTTTTAATACTAGGAAGAGGTTGTACTCCAGGGAAAGTTTAGCTATTCTTCTTATGTTATGATTCACATTGAATGTACTGTATATGCATTCTGTTGGCTCTGACCTTGCCATTTGCTAAGGAGAGCTTTCATCTAAATTTAGGTTGGCCGGTTGTTAGCTGTAAAGGAAGGTATTCAGAACCCTAGGGATAAAAGTAATGATGCATTAATTTCAGTGGCCAGAAGAACATTGGATATGATCCTCCATTATTTAAGACATGACAGCCAACTTGGAAAATAGTGTTTGGCAACTACAGCCAAAGCCCTGGGAATTTTGAGATGGGATTACTAATCATAAAGTGCCCCAAACTACAGCAGATAGAACAATATTATCCAGAATGTACTGTTACTGTTGTAGGTGTGTTTGCAATATTTATGGCACACTGTTCAATTTTAAACTCCCCAGGGACTAGTCATAAAAACAGACAATTAAGGCCTTACTTATAAACAACAAAATCATGAGTGTTTCTATAAATTGTTTCAACATTGTATTTTTAAATTGTTCTAAGTTACCTTATAGTAAAGGGCAGGCAAAAAAAAAAATCTAATTCTAATCACCATCATCACCACCTTCATCATCTTGACAATGCAGCCTCATCCGCCGCCCACTGTTCTTCACTGAAACTGCCGGAGGAACAATCAAGAACAGCTCCTCCTCAAGAGAGAGCCCAGGAGAGCAGTGTAGCCTTATAGTTAGATGCAATCATATGCTGGGGGAAAAAGAAATAAATTTATGGAGCAAAATGACCATTTCTGTTGTTGCCCAGTAGGGGTCAGGGATGATAGGACTTATGGTCTCACTCAGCACACTGCAGATGGCACAGTGCTTCCGGGGGGTGGGGTGGGGGGTGGGGGAGCATGAAGCAGCAGCAGAGGTGTCAAGTTGCCCCCAAGACTGGGGGAGGCAACTGGTGTGCATCACGTGTGTCATGTTAGCATGACATCACATGCATCTTGCATCATGCATGTGTGACGACATGTGTGTTCCAAAGGAGGCCGAGTGCTCTGGAGGAGCTGGCCACTGGACCTGCAATGTGCAATGCGCACACCTCAAGATTGAGGGGGCTCACCCCCATTAAAACAAATATTGAGAGGGTCTGCGGTCCCTTTGGCCCCCTGCAGTTGGCGCACCTGAGAGGCAGTATAGAAGTGCAAACCTCCTGACCAACATTTACCCTTCCCCCTCCCTGGAATGACTTTGCCTTGTTGGATGTCGCATCCTGTCTCCAAGGGCTACCAGCCGAAGCTCACAAGCTACACTTTCCCTCAATTGTCCACCAGCTACTGGTATTCGAAGGTCTGTATATACTACATATTTAGCAATTGTGATGAATATCTGTTGGGATACATATCTGATGAGGAAAGGGTGTGGATCAGGGGTAGAGCATCTGCTTTTCATGCAGGTCTGAGGTTCAATTCCTGGCCTTTCCAGGTCAGGCTGGGAGACACCCCGTCTGATACCACGTGCAGCCAAGGCCAGACAAGACTGACATTACTGAGGGAGCTGGACCAGGAGCTACATGGTGGTTAGCCCTGAGGGATATGTTCCAAGTCCACTGCTGGAGGCAGCGATGCTTCTGTATGCGAGCTGCTGGAAACCACAGAAGGGAGAGTGCTGTTGAATTTAAATCCTGCTTTTGGACTTTCAAGAGACATTTGTTGGAATAGATGGGCTACGGGCTGGATCCAGCAGCATCTTTTTATGATATGACCAAAGGCCTGACAAATAAGGCCATAATGTTTTTACTGACATGTATAAAACATAATTCCATGTTTTATACATGTCAGTAAAACCAGCAGATTGAAGTAAATAAAATTGCTTGAGGGTTCCCTCCCTCCCCTCTTAATTATGTATCAGCTCAAATACATACACATATTCTGAAAATTGTAAGTGCTGTATCATGGAGTGCTTACTCTTTGTTCATGCCACTTACAAGAGACAGGTCATTCATCTCAACAATTTTCTCCTTTTTCTTTCAGCAGTCAAGGTAAAGGCTATGGACTTCTGCGAAGATAATCCAGCGGGAGGATAGAGGTGAAGCATCTCTCAGGATTAAAGAACACAGTTTAGATGACTGCAACAAGATACACCTATTCTAGCCCAGCTTTTTAATTTTCCTCCTTCCTATCAGCTGGGTCTGGCAGCCATTATATAAATTTTCCTGCAATGCCCCTGATGCAGCAAAATCTGGGGCACTGTGGGAATTTAAAACGGTAGCTCTCAGCCTCTGAAGACTGATCGGAGCATTGCTGCTGCCCACCAGTGCTGTGAGGCAATCTCTCTGGGGCTCACCGGAGGGCCCTTCAAACCTTCAAAGACAAAGCACGATGCAATTACTTGCCCTGCATACTTTTAAAAATCTTTTTTATTTAATTTTTTTTCAAAATACAAACAGAACAGATATAAAAAAGAAAGAAAAAGAAAAAATACAGATAATTGACTTTCCATCCATCCTTCCATGGTTTCTTTAAATTAATGGTTCTACAGTGGTGCCTCGCAAGACGAAAATAATTCGTTCCGCGAGTCTTTTCGTCTTGCGATGTTTTTCATCTTGCGAAGCACGGTCCGTCGCAACTGCGCCTCTTCAAGCGGCTTTAAGAAAAAAGCGCAAGACATTTTCGTCTTGCGAAGCAAGCCCATAGGGAAATTCGTCTAGTGAAGCAACGCAAAACTGAAAAACCCTTTCGTCTAGCGAGTTTTTCGTCTTGCGAGGCATTCGTTTTGCAGGGCACCACTGTATTTTAACACAATCCTGCTTGTCTCTGTATTTACTTCCATACAATTTTAAAGTGCTGAGCTTGCTGCAAACTGACTAGTGTCTTAACACTTTTACAATAGTTTTTCAAATAATCTACAAATGGTTTCCAATCCTCTTTAAATATGGTCTCTTCTTCTTCTCTAATTTTATTTGTTAGATTTGCTAATTCTGCATACTCCATCAATTTCATGTGCTCTTCTTCCTTTGCAGGTACAGCATTTTCACACCATCTTTGGACATATAACATTCTTGCAGTGGTGGTCTCATACAAGAATAGATTCATTTCTTTAATGGTTACATCTGGACCTGTTATACCCAAAAGAAAAGCCTTTGGCATCTTAGGAATACCTGTTTTAAATATATTTTTCAGCTCATTATGAATCATTTCCCAATATTCCTTAACTACTCTACAGGTCCACCACATAGGATAAAAAGTTCCTTTTTTACATTTTCAACATTTACTTGACTCTGACTTATACATTTTTGCTAATTTGCTTGGTGTCAGGTAACATCTATAGATCATTTTCATGTAATTTTCTTTCAGATCATAACAGGCTGTTAATTTCAACCCTGATGTCATTCTCTCCCATATTTCTAAGTCATTTTTAAACTTCTTTCCATAGTTATCTTGAAATATATTGGGGTTCTTAGTTGTCAGCCACAATCCTAAATACTTCACCTTTTTATCCATCTTCCATCCACTCAGTAATTCTAAATCCTTTTTCATCTACACATCCATGTTTTTAACCAACATCTTGGTTTTCAATTTATTTATCTTAAATCCTGCTATTTTATTAAATTATTCATTTCTTCAATCACTTTGTGTATGCTACTCCCTGGTTCCTCTAATGTAAGAACTACGTCATCTGCAAATGCCTTCAATTTATATGTTTAACATCCTACTTTCACACCTTTCATATCTGCCCTGCATACTGTTAACTCTCATGCATCCTTCCAGGAGTGCGCTCTCTCTCTCTCTCTCTCTCTCTATATATATATATGTATGAATGATGGGGAATGAAGTGGAAGAAGCTTGGAGGGACTGATGGTGCCCTTGGGCTACTCCTTGAAGAACAAGGGCTTGGCAAAATACAGCCTGGGTGATATACATACCATACATAGTGTACTTAACACACAGGTCTCTTGCTGAGAAGCATCAGGATTTACAATGTGACTTTTATGAGTTATCTGGAACCCCAGTAAACGTTCCCTAGCCCATATATAACTACAGTTTTCAAGGAGATTTATAGGCAAGTATTCCCCTGATGATGCCTGAAGATACTCCCGACATGCTATAAATGAAACGATTGGCACAGAAGCCTTATCCTTCTATTTAGCTGCACATATTTTGAGATAGCTGTCATGCAAATATTCTGCAGAATACGATCAGGCAGTAAAAAGCTAATGCAAAGTTATGGAAGTCTGTAAAGATAGCAGTACAATAAACTCCTGAAATACTGGTTCCTGGCAAAGGCCATTGAGGCATCTGGATTCATGTAATATGTATTCTTTTTTCCCTTTTCGTTAGTTGACACATTTGGGTTTTTCATAATCTTCCTATACAGTTTATGAGCTCTTAAGTAACTGTTCTTGCTGCTTCCCAGTACTCAGTCATATACTGATTCTCAGCTATCCTCCTAATAATTTTTTTTAAGAGGGAGCAGCTGTGCTAGCACACATTGCAAATTTCTCCTACATCCCCTTCCTCATTCAATTACAACATAGGGGCAAAAGGGACACAGGCAAACCCTTTGCTGATGGTTTGTACAGTGAAGGTAGTTCTTGGTTTAAGCCAACATGTATCACATTTTAAAGTTTTAGGTAGGGCTCAGACAAATTGACAAGTGTTACAGACTTTTCCAGGTGACCCCTCCCCCCATATCGTTCATCCTGATTTACTTGCACAAAGTTTACATAGAGGTTAGACTATGTCTAGTCTCTTTTGAGCATTTGGTTTGTGGAAAGGTTATACAACAGTGAGCATTCAGCCTAATTTAATTGTGGGCTGTTTGAATATTATTAGTATTCATTCATCTCACACTTTTCAGATCATTTCCCTATCACTTTCCTAACTGCCAAAAAGTTTATTTTGTAGATGTGCTTTAATCCCTTTTAATTGAGCAAACCTAAATTTATGGTATAGAGTTGAATAAGTATGAAGGCAACTTCTGGGTTGGCTGTGGGCATTGGAGACCGCCCACTCTGAGTGGCCCAATTGCTGTGAGGGGGCAGGAAGGGAGCTCAAGCAAAGCACTTTCTCTAAAAAGCCCAAAAGGAAATGTTTGGGTTCTGAAAGGTCCAGCAGTGTCGAAGGACACTCTCTAGGAACTCCCAAAGCTCCAGAGGGAGCATGAGACCTCTGAGACTGAGCGCAGATACATGGTGCAATTGAGACCCACAGCAAACTGCTCGCCATTGAAGCAGCAACTTCTCCAAAAATAAAAGCAATTCGGACCAATTAGATGAGGTTAAAAGATAATATTAAGAAGAATAAACTAATTGGATCCACACCAGAGTGGTAAAGAGGAGGTTCCCCACTGGATGCCAGTACAGTGGTACATCTGGTTGCAGACAGGATCCATTCTGGAGCTCTGGTCGGATCCTGAGGTTTCCACAACCGGAGGGACCGCTTCTGCACATGCGTGCACAGCGAAACACTTCTGGGTTTGCCACCTGAAGTTTATGTTACCCGAGGGTACTGTAAGCCGAGGTGCTACTGTATTGAACTGCAAGGAGAAAATCTGCAGGGACTGAAATAAGAACAAAAAATAAACATCTGCTAATGATTTTTTTTATAAGCATTCCAGTTTATGAACTGAATTAAAACTGTGATTTGCCTAAGTACTGGATGCATAACTTTTAGACTGTATAAATATCTTCCGGCAAGCATGCCAAACTGCAAATAACTTTAAATATTGGGGAGGGAAAGAGAAGAAAGTGGGACGTGGACTTTGTGGATTGTGGCCTGGTGCTCCTCTCCTGGTGTCGGAGGGACCAAGGCTCCCCCCTGCACGGGCTGCTGGGGGGCAGCGGAGTGGGGACCCGACAGCCCTGTGCCCTTCAACCCCAGCCTCGTGTGGGGGTGGAGTGAGTGGTGGAGGACAAATGGAGCCCACCACAGCTGCCCAGCCCCTGCTGCCATTGGGACAACACCAGCCCCAAGTGTCATGGCTGTTGCACCCTCCTCATGTGAGGGTGGAATCGAAGGGCAGATGGTTGCTGCCTCCCCACACCATCCTCCTCAAGAGGCCTTCAAGGTTTTGATCCAGGGAGGCTGGTGCAAGAAGGGTGCAACAGCCATGCTGCTTCGGGCTGGTGTCACCCATGCGGCCACAGGGGCTGGGGGGTCACAGTCCTCCGCCCCTTGCCCCACCCCACCCCGGTGCGCACACACACATGCACACCAGCCCCAGGCAGCATGGAGATGTGCTCCATTGCTGCTTACCACCACTATATTGGATACAATCCTATGTGTTCAATATTCTTTTTTGGAGGGTGTGGGTGTTTTGCATTGCACTGTCATTTCAAAAGAGAATAACCAATCCCAATGCCTTGCAGACAGGCACAAGTGATACATGTGAAAGATATATCAAATAGATGGCATGGGAATGTTCAAGCATGCACATGCTGAAAAGTGCTACAGAAATAATGAGTAAATGCCTTCTGTTCAAAAGGAGACAAATTCTTTATGATTTTGAAAATTGTGCTAGAAATGTCAAATGTGCAGTCATGTGCCCAGTCTGCAGCTATGAAGCAGAATTAATGGCTTTTCAGTCCCACTGGTTTCAGTGGGAGAGCTATGAACATAATTAAATATCTCAAAGGGGCTTTGCTCAGGGAAACTATAGATGTCTCTCTGTGTGTGCACATACAAACACAATTAGAAAATTGGGTTGTTTAACCTATGTCCTGTTTCAGACCTCCAAAAAGTAGCATTGACTCTAACATTTTATGATTCTCTAGGGAAACTGAGCATTCCTGATGCTGGAGTAACATTCTGGATTCCCTAGTATCTTTCTCAAGGAATAAATCATGAAAGATGACAGCCTTTGGAACATTTGGCTTAGGAGGCACCCAGCCAATAAACACGGAACAGTGATACTATCATCTGAATCACTGATAAACACTAAAGTAGATTGATTTAGGCCTAGTTGTCACTGAATTGGTAAATGGTCTGGGCTGTTACACTTCAAATTGCAGGTGAGGCTCAGTTGATAGAAATACCTAATGTTAATTGTTTAGAATATCTATACCCCATTCTTTTGTATCAAAATAGGCAATAAATGTGCCTAACAATCCACAAAAAAATGTGTGATGTCAGGGGTGCCAACTTGAATAAAAAATGGGGGGGGGCAGGTAAGCCCCACCCTGCATAATTGATCACATGATGCGGTGCACACACACCATTTGAATGGCAATACCCTCTACCTTGTGTGTGGGGGGGGACCTGGCCCCCTCAAATATTTTAATAATAATAATAATCCAACAACTAATGTTCGTGGACTGCAATCCCCACCCTCCAAATCTTGTGGAGCAGCTGAACCCTCGGTGACTTTTAGTTACTGTGACCTCCATGTAAGCCTTGTTCAAATAAATTAGGATGAATGTTCAATAAACAGATCATATGTGTCAGAGCTGGCTCCAGGTCCCAGCTCACAGAGGACCAACGCTATCCGGCAGTAATGTACAAAAGTCTTTATTGAAGTACAGTTTCCATTTTCAAGCCGGAGCGCCCCAGCTCTACGTCTAGGGGTTAGATCGGCGAAGCTCCATCTGAGTCTCCGCCGCCTGTACACCAGTTTAAGATTCTAGCCTTACTCCACCTCTTACGTCTCTCCTTTCTCCTCTGGGTCCTGCTACCCCCCGGGGTCCCTTCCTTCCTGGATTCTTCTGACGCTGACCCCGCTGACTCCTCCCCCTCTTTTCGGCGGGCTTTGGGACCTGGCTCCCTATCCGGGCTGCCAACTGCGCCGCCCTCCTGTACATTTGAACTTGGCGCGCGCGCCCAGCCTTCAACCTTCCTCTCGACCGTTTCCTCGCTCCCCGATGGAGGCGTGGCCAATCCTGACTCATGTCCTCCCACTGGCAGTGCGCCGCCTGATCCCGATGCCTGGGACTCCTCCCCCCCTACTGCACTCTGGTGTGGACGCTGGTCCTGATTTCCAACTGCTGCTCTCTGAGTCCCCTCTGGCCCCTTCTTCCTGGGGTGTCCCCCCTCGGCACCCCCCTTGCTCTGACCAAGGGAGCCCCTTTCTGTGAATCTTCCGATTCGCTGGAAAGACTCAGAGACCTCGGACCGCTGTCATCGCTAACATTTCCTTCGGACTCCTCCCCCTCGCTCTCTATTTCCTCCCTTTCCTGTGCCTCTGCTCCTGAACCCCTGACATCCATCCCCCTCGAAGCCCCCCTTCCCCCTCCCCTCCTTCAGGTGTGGGTACTGGGTGCTCCGTCGTTGTGGGGGTGAGTGCCGGATACAGTTCGTCCCCCGTGGCGTGCATCCAGCCGGATAAGTCCGGCTCGTCCTCCGTGCTCTCGCCGACCTCAATTTCCTCTGCTTCCATCTCTTTGCCGCCGTGCTCGAACCCAAGGTCCTCCCCCAACACGTCCATGTCCGTCTCTCCCCGGTCTCCTCCGGGGACGTTGCCTGCCAAGGACCCCCCAACCACTTCCTGCGCCACTGCTCCTCTGGTTGAGTGTCCCACCAATAGGAACGGTCTGAGGCAGACCCCGAGGGTGATCCCTCCGGGGAACGTGCTTCTAGTGCCGGTTCCTCGTCCGAGGTGAACCCCTGGAATGTGCTAGCTGAAAATGTGGGTGTGAAAAGCCAGTCGTCGAAATACTCGGCTGGCATGGGCCTGTGTGGGAAAAGTGCATGGAACTCGTCCTTGAGCCAAGATTCCTCCAGAGCATAATCTGGCACCCAACTGTTGGCGCTAGCCGGGGTACCTTCCTTGGCGAGGAGGTATTCCACTCCCTCCTCCCCCATCTCGAGTCTAAAATCTCTGTGACTTCGTTGACGGGTTCCCGCCTTGGCGACCCCCTTGTGGGCGTTTCCCTGAACGGGTCTGGTGCCGTTCCTGGCTCCTGAAATCTATGAGGTGCTTTGTAGGGCGTGAGCACTGATCTATGGAAAACTGGGTGCATTCTGGATCCCTCCGGCAGTGTCAACCGGAAAGCCACTGGATTGACCTGTGCCTCGACTTGGTAGGGTCCTAGCTGCTTATGCCCTAGCTTCTTCTTCGCTAACGATCTGGCCGGCACTGCCTGGGCTGCTAACCAAACCCAGTCTCCCACCTGTATGTCTTCCCCAACCCTCCTGTGCTTGTCAGCCTGCAGTTTGTATGCGTGCTTTGCTAGTTCTAACTGCCTCCTAAGCTGTTCGTGAACCTCCTGCAACTCTGATGCTAAGGCTTCCGCTGCCTGTGGCTCCCCTCCCCCGCTCTCGCTAATCCCGGGAAGGTTCTGGGATGCCTCCCGTTGTTGGCGAAGAACGGTGTCACCCCCGTGGACACGTGCTTCGTGTTGTTGTAGGCGAACTCAGCGAGCGGCAGGTAGTCCACCCATGTTGCCGGCTGCTGATTTGCGTAGCATCGCAGGTACTGCTGCATGATGGCGTTGACTCGCTCCGCTTGTCCGTTCGTCTGCGGGTGTCTCGCCGACGCTAGGTTGATCTTGACGTTCAGGAAACCCATCAGCTTCTGCCAGAAGTTCGAGATGAACTGTCGCCCCCCGGTCGGACAGGATAGACCGTGGCAGACCGTGAACTCTGAACACGTGGTCTATGAACAGTTTGGCGGTCTGTTCCGCCGTGGCCACCTTCGCGCACGGAATGAAGTGGGCCATTTTGGTGAACATGTCCACCACCACTAGCACTGCCGTCTTGCCCCTCGAGCTGGGTAGATCCGTGACAAAGTCCAGGGCCACCCTCTCCCACGGTTCGAGCGGTGTCTGCAGGGGTTCGAGCAGTCCCGCCGGCGGTTTGTGCACTGACTTGGCCCTTTGGCAGGTGTCGCACCTCGAGACGTAATCCGCGACTTCCCCCCCGCATCTTGGGCCACCAAAAATCTCTGGCTACTAATTCTACCGTCTTCTCTTTGCCAAAGTGCCCGGCGGTGGGTGCGTCGTGCAACTGCTGCAGTACTTTCGCGCGGAGGTCGTCTCCCGGTACGTAGAGGGCCCCTCTGCGGATGAGCAATCCGTCGCGTATCTGGAACTCGTCGTCCTCCGCCGTGCCCCTTTGCACCTCTGCCATCTTTGCTTGCGCGAAGGGGTCCTCCTGCAGTGCTCGACGTACAGCATCCAGGTCCACGGTTGCTGAAGCGCACGCCCACGCTTTCGGTGCGAAAATGTGCTTGGCCGCTGCTGGTGCCGCCTCCTCGAGGTATTGCGGCTTTCTGGACAGTGCATCCGCCATGATGTTGTTGTCGCCTGGGATGTACTCTATCCTGAAGTCGAAATCCGCAAAGAACTCCGCCCATCGTATGTGCCTCTGGTTCAGGAACCTTGCCGTGCGCCAGTACTCCAGGTTTTTATGGTCCGTGCGGACCTGCACTGTGTGTTTGGCTCCAATGAGGAAGTGCCGCCACGCCTTGAATGCTGCATGAATGGCCAGCAACTCCCTGTCCCAGATGGTGTAGTTCTGCTCTGACTTGCTGAGCTTCCTGGAGTAGAAGGCACACGGTCTCCAGTCCCCATGCGGGTCTTGCTGCAACAGTACTGCTCCCACGGCTCTGTCTGAGGCGTCCGTTTCAACCCTCATCGGTCTGCTGGGATTCACATGCAGTAGCTGCTCTTCGGACGAGAAGAGACGCTTGAGTTTCTGAAAGGACTGCTCCGCTTGCTCCGTCCAGATGAACTTCTTCTTCTTGGAGCTGAGCGTGTCGGTAATGGCCGCCGTCTGCATCGCGAACCCCTTGATGAACTTGCGGTAAAAGTTGGCGAAACCGACAAACCGCTGGACCTCCTTCCGATTGCGCGGGCTCTTCCAGTCCAACACTGAGCGAACCTTGGCGCTGTCCATGGCGAGCCCCTTGTCCGACAACTTGTAGCCCAGGAAATCTACCTCCTTCATGTCGAACTGGCACTTCTCCAGCTTGGCGTACAGCCTGTGCTCCTGCAGTCTCTGCAGAACTTCCTTGACGTCTCCCTCGTGGGTCTCCTCTGATTCTGAAAATATCAGGATGTCGTCCAGGAAGCAGACGCATTTCTTGTAGAGGAGACCCGCCAATACGTGATGCATGAAGGCTTGAAAACAGTGGGAGCCATTTTGTAATCCAAAGGGCATAACTCTGTATTCATAGGTGCCCAGGGGCGTGAACATGGCAGTCTTCCATTCGTCGCCCTCCCGTATGCGAATCAGGTTGTACGCCCTCGCAGATCCAACTTTGTGAAAACGCGTCCTTTCCTCACCGTTGCGAGCAGGTCATCTATCTTGGGCATGGGAAAGGCTGTGGGCTTGGTTTTCGAGTTCAAAATTCTATAGTCCACCACAAGCCTTTTTGGGGCGTGTCCTTCTTCTTCACAAAGAATACAGGACTGCCCCCCACTGCCTTCGACTCCCGGATGAAACCGCGCTTCAAGTTGAGGTCTATGAACTCCCTGAGTTCCTGCAGCTCGTCTTCAGACATGGAATACAGTTTCCCGGTTGGCAGCGTCGCCCCTGGCAGGAGGTCAATCTTGCAGTCATAAGACCTGTGGGGAGGTAGCTTGTCCGCTTCCTTCTCGCAGAAAACCTCCAAAACGCTGCGTACTTGAGTGGCACCGCTTGCAGCGTGCCTAATTGTAGCTGCGGGTCATCCTCTTCCCCTTCCGGGCTAGGCAGAATGCAATGTTCCGCACAGTATGAGGAGCCGAAGGTCAGTTGTCGCTGGTACCACGCCAATGCTGGGCTGTGCCTGTGCAGCCAACTCATGCCTAATACTATAGGCGTGTCCGACAGTTGGGTGACATTGAAGCTGATGACTTCTCGGTGATTCCCAATTTGCATCACCATCGGAGGAGTTTGCTGCACCACCTGCCCCCAGCAATTCCCTGCCATCCACCGTGACAACTTTCAGAGGCAGCGTGGCTGGCAGGAGTGCTATGTTGTGCTCTTGAAGGAAATCCAGTCCTATGAAGTCTGCGTTACTACCAGAGTCAATGGTAATCGGCACTTCCATAGTGAGTCCATTGGGTAGTTGGAGCGATGCTGTGAGCTGCACCACTGGTTTGGGCGGGAGGGGGTCTGTGGGCTGCAAAATCTCTGGGGACGGCTTCATTGACGTGTCTGGTTGGGCCCCAGTGCCTCTTCCTCCAACCAGACTCTGTCGTTTCCCTGCTGTGGCTCCCTCTGCTGAGTTGCTTCTGTTACTGTTGCTGAGGCTGCAGTGTGCTTGTGGAGCCTCTGGGGACACTCTTTCGCCATGTGCTGAGCACTGTCGCAGATGTAGCACTTCCTGTTCCCTCTAGGAGGCTTCGCTTTGACTGCTCCCGGTGTTAAGGCTCTGGTTGTTGACTGAGCCCTGGCGCCTCCAATCTCCATCGGTTGCTCTCCCCTCCTTGCGGAGGTGGGGATTGCACACGCGCTGCATCCGTGGGAAAGAGGGGAGGTGCTCTCACTGGCGTACGTCCCCAACGTCCTTCTTCTCTGTTCCATGGACGTTCTTCCAGACGCACCCCAATTTGCAGCGCCCGCCGGACAACCTCCTGAGTGCTCTTTGGTCTCTCCCCCCTTGCAATCTCATCTTTCACATTTGCATTCAAGCCTTCCCAAAAAGGTCTCTGGCTGGGGCAGAATCCTTCTCCCATCCCAGCGCATCGACTAATGCAAACCAACGGGAATGGTACTGCCTTACACTGGCTCTGCCTTGTTTGAGCCCATGTATGTCTTTTCTGGCGATATCAATGTCTATATTTGATAAAAAACACGAATCCATCGCTTTAATGAATGCATCCGCATTTTGGAGCGCCGGATCCTTATCTCTCCACAGATTGCGCAGCCACGCTTTAGCTTCCCCATGCAAATGGGACAAGATAAACCCCACCTTTTCTTGCTCATCTCTAAAGTCTTTATCCAGCAGTTCCAGTGCAAACAGCACGTCTGCTCGGAAGTTAGGGTACTGCTGCAAATTCCCATCGAAATGAGATACCAGGCTGCCTCCTCTTTTCCCCAGCCCAATCCCCTCTGATTTGGGTCCCGGTTGCCCCTGCTTAGCAAGCACTTCCAACCTGGCTTGGAGATCCCTGCAGGCGGCAGCCGCTTCCTCTTCCCTTTTCCTGGATGCGAGTACCTCCGCGTTGAGTTGTGTCACTGCATTTTGCAGGGCTGCTAGTTGCTGTTCTGTAGTCATCTTGCCTGACTTTTGTGAGCTCGCGAAGCACCAATCTTCCCTCGCTGCGTCCACTCACGTTACGAGGTCTTTGGTGCAAAACTTTTTGAGATGGAGCTTACTGTCAGAGCTGGCTCCAGGTCCCAGCTCACAGAGGACCAACGCTAGCCGGCAGTAATGTACAAAAGTCTTTATTGAAGTACAGTTTCCATTTTCAAGCCGGAGCGCCCCAGCTCTACGTCTAGGGGTTAGATCGGCGAAGCTCCATCTGAGTCTCCGCCCCTGTACACCAGTTTAAGATTCTAGCCTTACTCCACCTCTTACGTCTCTCCTTTCTCCTCTGGGTCCTGCTACCCCCCGGGGTCCCTTCCTTCCTGGATTCTTCTGACGCTGACCCCGCTGACTCCTCCCCCTCTTTTCGGCGGGCTTTGGGACCTGGCTCCCTATCCGGGCTGCCAACTGCGCCGCCCTCCTGTACATTTGAACTTGCGCGCGCGCCCAGCCTTCAACCTTCCTCTCGACCGTTTCCTCGCTCCCCGATGGAGGCGTGGCCAATCCTGACTCATGTCCTCCCACTGGCAGTGCGCCGCCTGATCCCGATGCCTGGGACTCCTCCCCCCCTACTGCACTCTGGTGTGGACGCTGGTCCTGATTTCCAACTGCTGCTCTCTGAGTCCCCTCTGGCCCCTTCTTCCTGGGGTGTCCCCTCGGCACCCCCTTGCTCTGACCAAGGGAGCCCCTTTCTGTGAATCTTCCGATTCGCTGGAAAGACTCAGAGACCTCGGACCGCTGTCATCGCTAACATTTCCTTCGGACTCCTCCCCCTCGCTCTCTATTTCCTCCCTTTCCTGTGCCTCTGCTCCTGAACCCCTGACAATATGGAAGGGAAGGAAGGCTGGAAGGAGATGAGGGCCCTTGCTGGCATTCTGGAAACATCGCTTATGCTCTGATTTGTTTGTGAGAAGGTTACATGTCTTCCTGTTGAACATTAATTTATCCCACACTTTTCAGTGCGTTTCTCCACTATTTTCCTAACTGCAAAAGTCCACTTCCCCCTGCAAAGTGGACTTCTTGTGCTAGAGTGGCAAATCACTTTAATCCATTTCAGTTGCACGAAGCTGACTTTCCTGTGTGCAATTGAATCCCTCCCCCAAATACTGACAGTCTGCAGTTGGGCAACAAGAAGCAGGAATTGTTATGTACTGAAGTTCTCACCCTGGGCCAGCAGGGGGATACTGTAGATAGTTATGCAAATGAAGGATCGAAAGTGACGTTCAGTGATTGGATAGTTTGTATGCAAATGAAGGATCGAAAGTGACGTTCAGTGATTGGATAGTTTGTATGCAAATGAAGGATCGAAAGTGACGTTCAGTGATTGGCTAGTTACAGAAAATGGTTACTGTTGCATTCTAGTGGAGCTCTATATAAGCAGGCTGACTGAGCTCCTCAGTTCAGTTCTGTTCCAGCTTACAAATAAAGAGCTGCTTTGGAAGAATCGCTGTGTCATCTGATATGTTCGCCCACAACTTAACAGGAATGCTTTTGAAAGCCAGCCTCAGGGGTGGTGTGGAGGTTTAGGGTTAAATCTGGTGTTGACACATTTCCTACAGGTTTGCATTTCATGGAGCTTTCTGATTCTCCGTTCTGTTCTTGCTTTTGTTATCATTACAGCCTTGCAGGTTGCTTTCTGCAGGTGGCAGGAACAGAGCAGCCAAGTCTTTTAAAGCAGAGATCAAAACAGAAATTACAGAGCTGAAAGGCATTGTTCCAGTCTTTGAAACAGCTCCATAAACTTGCTCGAGCGTGGGATGGAATCTTAATTTCCCCCAAAATCATGTTCCTGAACTTCTCCATGAGTAATGTTGTGTATGCTACTACTGTTGCATTAGCGCTGATATCCCTCTCTCAAATCTCTTGTATATAGTTCCTCTACTTCAGCTGTTTTTATTATCTTGAGGTTACACAGATTCCTGGGCCTGAGGATGATTGCTTTTCACTGCTGTAAATGAGGAATAAATTGGAACAACAACAACAACAATATGGTGAAACCAGGGCAATCACAGACTCATAGTTGGAAAGGACCCGAGGGTCATCCTGCCTAACCCCTGACTGATGTCTTCCTTGGCATTGCTTTCCTTCTTCTTGATTTTTAATAGGTGGGTTCTTTCTGATCTTTCAGAGGGCTCTCAGACAACTCTAAAGTTATTGGAAAGTGCAAACCCATTTTGAATCGAGACAGTTAATATTAAGGTTTATGCAATAAAAACAGGATTGATGGTGACACCAGAAGACCAGGGCCCAAAAGATAAATGATGCTCCATTGCTCTTACATTAATCACCATATAATATCACAATAATTACAAACAAATAATTACTCACAAAATATGCATTCCTGCAATAATTTATTTGTCAACCTGTTAACATTCCAACTACAATGAATTGTGTTCAAGGTAACGATAAGCACTAATTGCACCATGTTGAATGAGATACGAATATCTTTAAAAATGGCATGATAGAGAAAATTCATTAACGCTGAAAACAACATCCAAAATGCGCTTGGAGTTTCCTCCCCTAAATTCCATCTGCATGAATCTGAATCGCACAACAGATTTTTTTTTGTAGAATTCTGAAGCAGAAACCCAGGCGTTACCCAAGATTCCCAACCCAGATTTATTGGTGAATGTGGAATGGAGGGATTATGGAAAAGAAGCAATTGAATGAAGGGAAGTTGCCATCACCCTTCCCACACCCACCACTTTCCCTTTTCAATCCTTCCCCAGAGGCACCACCCCAAGCCAATATTCTGTCCGAGCTAAGCCCAGCTAAAATTCAACAGAGAAGGGGAGCTGCTCAAGGAAGTTGAAGGATTAAGAACTCTCTTCCAGCCCACTGCTTCTTTTCTCCAAATGTCCCTGTGCCCACATCCATGCTCAGTGAAAAATACAGGTTTCGGGATCCCATGGCTTTTATGCTGTATCTAGTTCCAGTCTCACCTATTTCCAGCAGAGCAGCAGAAGTTCCTAACAGGACATGCCACA